ATCACGAAATATTATAAATCATAATCAGCCTATCAATATCCTTACAGCTGGAGCACAGGCCTTCCCTATGTACGAAATTGTATCTAATCGAATAAGCCATGATACACCTTAACTACCACCTTAGCAAGAACAATATCAATATATTGCTTAAACCCTAAACGAAATTAAACATCAATATAAATTTAAACTCGACGGGGAAAAAAACTAGGTAATCGCGAGATAGAAACACATTGAAATCGGCGAAAGAACCACATACTACTATTCCACCACATGTTCCTATTTAGTATTTAAGTGTCCTATTAGAATTACAAACACTCGCTGAGCGGGAAGAACTTTTATACTTTTCAGAAGGGGTTTAGCAGAGCTTAAACAGAGTTAAGGATAATTTTCAATGTATATTTATGATTGAAGAGAGCCAAGATCGTTAAAATTGAATTTAAAAACTTTTAGAACTATCACAACAACAATATTTTCTACACCAACCAACAGATGACAACTTTGTAATTTTAAATAATCAATGATGTTCCAAAAATATTTAGGCCCCTACGAACTATACGACTATATAAGAGATAACATTCAATTTTTTTATTTTTTTTATTTAGACCTCAACCCAGCCCTATCCAGATGCAGAAAAAAGTACCATCACGCTTTTTATGAAAATCTTTCATTTTCAATATAATTAAAGTAAAGAACGAACTATACCAATATTTATTCTGCACTATTCAATACATCTTAATTCAAAACAAAGAAGAATATCAATATATTTTTGATTCCGAGATCAAGAACTCCAAAATTGACCATTATAAACAAATATGCAGAATTTAATAAGATCCTTGCAAATAGGTTCAACTTAGAAATATTTTTTTATAATCGAACCCGTGTTTTGTCCAGTATACTGACTTATATGGCAGTTACTTCAAAAATATGACAAATAAGCAAATATGAAGATGAATAGGATAAGTCTCTTGTAAACGCTCCTCCATAATAAAGAAGTTCCACCACTGAATTAACTTAAATTTGATTTTAAGTTGAAAAACTACCCAAAAGAGTTATATATGCCTCCTTCTACTTTTATCACTACTTCCCCATTCTTTGGTTTTTACCAAAGAATAAATAGAGGAGTAGGTAGGTATTATCGTTAATTATGTATGAGTTTGTTGATATGACTTTAATATAAAAATTGCACCTGTGCTTAGGAGGAAGTCAATATAACAATATTCTGGAAAATCACAAATGCGACTTAGGTACATATTTCTATGATAAATATGTACATATGTGCTTACATAACATTCATATCAGCCAACGGAATATTACAGACTATTATTTGACTGATAACAGGCTCCGTCCGTTGAATCTGCCGAATAGCTTACGGGCACACTGTATAATTAGTGCTCAATATAATTAAATTCAATTTTAATTTAATTTCAACTCGAAATAATTGCATTTAATAATTTCGGTAAACTATTTCTATACTAGTAATTAATTTCTATACTAATATTTCACTGCACTCTGCCTAAAATATTATTTATATTAAAAGTAAAAGTATGACAGCGTTAGGAGTGTTCTATTTCGGACTTCTATATTCCAAAATTTTATTAAAAAGTCACATAAAGTTAGTATTCGCGCAAAATATCTTGGATAGCATAATGAAATCTAATTTTAACTTTAATATCATTAAAGGTTATCATTCAAAATGTAAGAGAGTTTCAAACTGATAGTATTACAAGCTTTTGTAATAACAATACCAGTAGGTATACACTAGCACTATATTGAAATATGGTGCAGACATTAAAAGTATAAATAATAATTCAAAATATAAAATAGAAATCAACTTAGAATCTGGTTGAAATATTCCATTTTTATTAGGTATATCTGACAGTGTGAAATTTTAATTAGTGAATTTATTCAATCAACGTACAGACACTTCAAGCTCAATTTTGTATAACAATATATCAGTGACTTCCAGATAACTAACCAGGCGGGAGACAGACGTAATTGACTTGCATGAGACGGCTATTGTGATTTGGTCGGCCCGAATTGTAGTTAGATGGACCCAGTTTGCAGGGGTTAATTCTATAAGTGATTATTCGTTACGCATAACATTTATTTGGCGTTTGTGATTCAATCAAGCTCTAGACGTTGTTAGTAATTGAAATGTTTAATGTTGATTTTCTAAATTAGCTTAAAGAGTCGATGGTCTAAGTCAAGGTAATTTCTTGGCGTGGCACAAAGACAAGGTATCGAATTCTGCATAAGGCTAGTTTTGCTACTTCGTTGGCAAATTTAATTATTTATCAATTTCTTTGTTAAGTTTGCAAAGCAATAATGATTTTATATACTTCTTACGTCTATTAATGTTGGTATAATAAGCTTTGAGAGATTTGTCTTCTATAGACTATTGATGACTACGCCACTATTTTAACCTGCGATTATAAGTTCGGTAATGGTCTATAACGCCTCGTTTTTGCCTGTAATGCGGCAAGAAAATATATACCTAACTTTTAACAGCTCTAACTGTCGTCATGCTTTCGTCTAGCAAAGAGATAAATATGATAATAACATCTGAGATGTGCCTTTGATTTCGATTGTCTGGGCGGTGAGGTATTTTTTTTAATCATCTCTTTTCTCGCAAAAATTCTCGCACTGGAAAAAAAATATTCCTGTATGACGAATGTATTTTATGTATGCTGTAGTGGTAGTTTATTTATTTATAACTGTTTGGAGATCATACGGGTTTAAATCATGATTGTGATTAAAGATGTAACTAAGGGTTTGTTAATATTTAAAGCGGGTATTATTGAATTTAGGGAAAAATAAATTAAATGATTGAGTGTTTGAATAGTGGTGGTAATACAAACTTATCCAAATCTTACACTAATGTAAACCCTTACCTGTAGCTTTCGTAGTTTTTTGTTATATGTTTTACTATTTGTAATGATATTAAAGCACTTATTTATATAATATTACACAATTTATTTCTTCTTCGTTGCTATGGTTATATTTGATACTCTTCATGAAATTTGTCTCACTGTTTGTCATTTTTAGGTTCTAAATTGTAATCATTTACTTCCAAATTTGAGCTCGCCCTCAACTATATAAAGTCTTGTCTGTGTAGTTCTGCATGATTTCAACGGCAACAGTTACCCAAGTTAGCTTTTTGAGCTCGTACGGAGCTAGCTAAATTCTTAAAAGGCCGGGGCCGACTGCCCCTGAAACTCTTCAAAGTTAAGGTCTCAAAGTCATTTGACACCATTTTGGCTGTAATTAAACGTCAATAAATCAATTCAAACAGTACTCTACTAAACCTCCTTCGCCACCTTCTAACTTGGACGGAAATATTTTCTCCTAAAGCTGTCTACGAGTCTTCATCCGGAGGCCGGAGCTGCTGATCCGTTCTGGGCTACCGAAAGAAACATCTGCTCGACACATCGAGAAACACCTCGTCGAGAGGGTGCTCCGGAACTTAGCCGCTGGGCCTAGCTCCATCACCACAAATTGTTATGAAATAAGGGAAAATGAAATAATTTATTTATAGTTAATATAAAAAAGGGGGGTATGAGGTGAGTGGTGAAGTGAGTAGTGAAAAGTGTTAGTGTAGGTGATCTGGTGAAGGAGGCGTGGGTCAGTGGTGAAGTTCCGTTTCGTCAACCCAGGCCCTATCACCAAATTACCTACGCTGACGACGGCTATTTCTGCGCTGACAAACAATTGATTGAAGTGCTGTGTGTATGATTTATTGGAGATTAGAAACATTTCTAGAACTCGCTCTTAGTAAGAGGTCGTCGGTGTAAGCTTGAAGGTGACTGCCTGAGGTATATTTGTGGTTTAGAACTTCATCCATGATTTTGTTCCAACAAATTGGGCCAAGCACAGACCCTTGTATGCTTCCTCTTGTTTGATCCTTGATGAATTCTTCGTCTGCATAGGTTATTTTAACTTTACGGTCACTTAGATAGTTCTGTATAATTTGTTAGAGATTTTTAGGACACACACAGCAACAGTATCTGATCTGATCTAATATGAAATAAAAAGTAAAGCTTAACCCATAGTTAACGTGTTGATAGAAAAAAAAACAATGTAACTTATAGGTATTTACTGAGGTTGACATCCGATATAATTTATATTCCATAAATGCTGTACGGAATATATTTAAACAAAAGCTTTCCTTTTATAGAAGACCGAGCCATTTAAAAGATTGAATGGTTGATTCAAGCTCATACAAATTCAGAAAATATACACATGTCGTATGTAAGTAAGTCATATGATGTGATAAATGCAATATTCTGAACATGAATAGCATCTCGGAGATTTCCTTAAATTCTGCTCACCTGTCATAACCCTGTAGCTACTTTGAAAGGTTTGCCATGTTTTATGACGTCACCCGGGGGTTTTTATATATCCGAAAGTATCTAACACGTGGCATATGAAAAATTGCGAGAAAGAAAAATGTTATGGTCCCTATCAAGTGGTGTTGTTTTTTTATAGTCTGCAGACACTCATAAATTATATACCTGTTTTTCATTTTTTATATTCGCAAACCCGTTAAATAGTTTGTTATCAACAGATGATTCGTATTATTAGGCAAGAAAAATCTATTCAATAACACTTTGGCGGTTACCTATTTTAATATCGAATTTTTTCCGTGCGAATTTCATTAAACCGAAAACGTTTTGCCACATTTTTGTTTTCCATATTTTCATTTCACTGAAAAAACAATTGACATATAACTGATAATCCGATTTTCAAATATACATATTTTTTAAATCAATACGTTTTTAAATCTTACTCAACCTTTGATAAATATACATATTTTAAACGATTTAGTTTCCAAAAAATTGTTTTTAAAATGGATGTTAAATGTGAATTGGCACTTAGCTTTCTGCCCAAATGAAATACTTGTTTATTTCTATAAACTACTGGATACTTTTACAGGTAATAATCTTCAAATTCTTATTATTATAAGTATTTTTATTATAATCTTCAATAACTTGATAAGTGATATGGTTCAGTTGAAACATGCATGCAGCATTCAAGCAGGCGTTAATCATGCAAGCAGGAATGCAGCAACCAGGCAGACATGCAGCATGCAAGCAGGCATGCAACCAGGCATGCAACCAGGCATGCAACCAGGCATGCAACCAGGCATGCAACCAGGCATGCAACTAGGCATGCAGCCAGGCATGCAACCAGGCATGCAACCAGGCATTTAAGCATACAACATGCATTGTTTCTGTCATGTCTCCGGCGCTGCGAGGCTCCGGCGGTCCCACGCGAGTTTATCGTCGTAGATGATTTTCGCTCAACACCGCAGCTTCGGGATATTGGCCGGGTTCGCCGGCCAGCCTCAGCCGCGGCGGTGAGCGAAAACCACCTGCTCCTCAATACGCGGGCCGCGTCGCCCCTCCACGCCTACGCGGGCTTAAATTACACTCTAGGGGTAGGGCAGATAAGACTACGTGAAGTCGGTTTTGCGAATTCACTTCTGTCAATACATTTTGTTGCACAAAATTAAGCACTGAATAAACCAATGTCTTAAACCTTAATTCGAATTCAAATTTATTTTTTCTATAAAAATAAATCAGACGATAAATAAAAACTTGTTTTTTTTTATATAGAATAAAAAAATATTGAAAGTAATACATCTGTGAAAAGAAAAAAACAGCTTTTGAAAATCGTCTTTTAGTTTTTCTGGAAAATGAAACATGTGTAAAATAAATTTATTACATAGAATATTATGTCAAAAAACATATCTGGTATTCAAAACTTCGTTATACCGTTTTCGAAGTTTTGTAATTCGAACATTAAAGTTTCGAAAGTAAGATAGGTTACCCGCTTTGGCACATGAAAAAAACAAAGCAATAGTAATAAATAAATAAAAATAGTATAAGTCATAATCGAATAAAAAAACATGTAACTAAAGAGTCTGGCAAAGCCGTCGTTAACTGGTTTTTTATCATTACCTTTTAAAATTAAACATTCAAGCTTATTCTTGCCTTTCTATTTCGAAACTACGATAAAATTTTAAAAGCTGTTAAAAGCTGTTATAATGTGTTAAAGTTCACTTTCTCGTAACCCTTAAAATGACAGAAACAGGATCTTAGATTTAAAATGGCCAAAATCATCTGCCCTATTTGATATTGTCTGTTATTATTAGGTAATACTTAAAATTTCTATAAATACTTTACGTATGCGTCTGTGGAAACATCAATATTACCAAAATTTAAAATTTTCGCAGAGCTTTTCAAAGTTTTGTAGCTATAGCGCCGTGAAGCTAGCGTCGCATGGTTGACTTTTCCGATATTGTTCGTTCATTCTAGATGAATGCACATTGTATAACATCATCTCTTTTGATATCAAAACAACAAACCCTTGTCTAGTCACATGTTATTTAGATTGAATTCTATTTTTATTTAAAAAAATAGAAATAAATAAAAAATAAAATTCTATAATTTAATAAAATTATAGACCTACAAACTCACGTCCTGCTGGAATGCAACGGAGTGGCCAACTTACGGGCAAAGCACCTCGGCTCGCCGGGCAACCTCCAAGAGGCCATCGCAGATGTGAAGGCACTCGGGGAACGCCCCGAGTGCCTTCACATCTGCGATCCTGGCAGAGCTCTTGGCAGAGCTGGGGTGGCTGGAGTAGCATCCGGCCACACACCCTCCATACGCAAAATAGGCGCAATTTGGTCGTCGAGTTGCGAAGACGCCCGTTGTAAGAAGAAGAAGACCTACAAAAAACCTCCGCTCGACTTCGATAGAAGTTTCTTACAAATTCAAACAACACTAATAATTTTATCATTAGATTGATGTATATTTATATGTCGCATCATCATTACGAAGATCGTTTGATTTAGTTTCTTTTATTTTAATTGCTAGTTACTTGATTACTTAATTACTCGATTGTAAAGAGAGCGTGATCATCGATACTTTTAATTTTATTAGAATGGTGACACCGACTTTGACAGTTCGTTTATAAAAACCAAGTTGCCGCCATTTTGGCACACATTCTGTATCCGATCGTCGAGGAGTAAAGACATCTGATGACATCACGCTCATCTCGTTATATTTTGGTGTGAAAAATGATAAAATGGAACAAATCCACGTTGGTATACACGCCTGCAGTGTTATTTTAAAGATAGTCCTCCGATATGGACAAACTATTTGGGCTTCGTAATAGCCCATTCGGACTACCCGCCGTTATATAATATAACATAAAAAATATGTTTAAAAGCAAATAACGCGATTTCGATGCCTGAAATAAGTTGTCTAGTAATAATTCGATGATATGTTTCTTTCAGTTATTTGGAAATTAAAACAAAACTGCTCATTCAATTTCGATAAAAAAAATTTGTACAACAGTTCAGGTAGACTCTATTTAATTTTCATCAGAGAACCTCTGTTTTATGTCTATAATACAGAGGTTCTCTTACCCATGCGTATCTGGAGAACCTTTGTTTTTTGTCTGTTTAAAATATCTTTAGGTTGTTGTAAGCTTACTTCACTACCAAAGTTAATGTTTTGTTGTAAAGGACAATGTCCAGCCCCCATACATTTTTCGCCTAAGAACCTCTAAGCATCTACTATCACTTTTCGTGTTCTAAAGTATCTATATTTACGTCTAAATACATGTTTAAGTAACGGACACTTCTAAGAAATGTATAAATCAAAAAATATATTTTGGATTTGAGGTTATAATTTTAACAATTGTAGCGTGCGGTTAGATTCTTTTTAATGTTTGTTTTACTTGCTTTTTGTAGGGAAATGTATGTCTACTTTGCTTTAAATGTTGATTGTTGTTGTTTGCTTTAAAAGGTTCTGTAGGTTCTGTATCGGGAGCATGTACTTACCAATCTTGGAGCAACCCAGTGTTGTATACACTGAAGGATCTGCTCATCTTCTAATACCATGCAACCAGAAGCTGAACCGCAATTAACACAAAATACTTCAACACACCCAGATTCCATGTTAATGTCCGTTAAATAAATGCCAAGTCGTCGTCTATAGTAGGTCGGTATGCCGTAAATCACTGCCGGAGGTCGATGTTATAAGACGAAAGCAGTCCTTAGTTCAAGCCAAGTCGTTATTTTATAACTAATATTCACAAGACACAAGAAATCGTACAAACAAACTCAAGCGACGTAAACACAACGCGAGTATGAAAGCGATTGTCAAACAAAACTTCAAAAGTTTAAAATTGTCAAACGTATGTAAAAGAGCGCTCCCAGCCGCTTAAAAATCTACGAACGTTTTGAGTTTCGTTTTAATGTCAAGCGCTTTAAGTGTTCATTGGTTGATTATACATCAAATTGTGCATAGATCCTGATTTGTCAACTTATTAAAATATGGTGGCAGCGTTTATTGAAGTTTATCAAATGTATTGATATTACTTTTTAAAGTAATTACAAAAATGGGCAGTGTCCGTTTGATTTTAAAAGCTGATATATTAATCATAAAATATGATAAGAATTATGATATACAAGATATTCTTAGAGGTTCATAGGCTAATTTGGACATTGTCCTTTACTACCAAAATTACTTTAATAATTTTGAAATTTTACTACACCTACATTATCGAAATATTATAATTACTGTACGTCTACATATTTGATTCCTAACACGAGTCTTTTTAATAAAATATGTCTATTAATGTCCTATAGAGGTACTACATTGAACCAATTATCGTAATAGAAAACTTACCGAACATCTAAACTATCTAGTTACACCAGACAGTAGTGTAAAAAGTAAAAATATTACGTATTATTTTTCAGATCTCAGAATTTTACAGTACGGTCTAAGTATAGACGGTAGGTTTTATATATCTTGCTTTTTCTATCAAGAATGTGTTCAATAAAGCTAATAAAATAAGGCAAATAAACTTCAAATCAACATTTGTTTAATGCACCTGTATACGCGGGAAAACAATGAAATGGTAAACCGATTTTTTTGGCCGAATATCCAGTTCAATAAAGGTTAAACCGAATAGTATTCGGTTATTCGATGAAACCACTATTCGGCGTATCTCTTCTTATTCTTATTACCTTATTCGAACCATTTATCTTGATACCATAACTTACCATCAAATGAGTTACCGATGTCATTGTGTAGTAATAGCTACATCATCGTCAACCTATTAGTGTCCCCACTATTGCGGTACAGGCTTTGCCTATCTCGGATCAAATATAATCAAGTAGGGCGACTGGAACATGGCCTACCACATGGGCCGATTGGTGGGTATTAAAGATTGCAGAGACAGCTGGGACCGACGGCTAAATGTACGAGTACCTTTCGAAGCACAGAATTGCAGTCCTTACGATAAGTGTATTTAGTAGAAAATTTAGGCAAACTGACTTAGTACATATTCATAATTTTACATATTCTTTATCGTTAGGACGGCAAAGAAGGGCTCGAGATAATACTTTCGATCGCCCATCTTAAGCCCTTAAGAAGGTTACTTATCTTATGCATCGCAGACCAAATTCACTAACATACGCCATCGAGCTCTTCGCGACGTAATAATAAATTTACTCTTTCTTACTTTTGCTCAGCCTATCTTTGTACGTATTAAATAAATGAACCTGCTTTCAATTATATCCAAACATAAGATTTTTTGCCAATAACTCAGCAGAATTGCAAGATTTCGTTTTACAACACGAATATTAGCATATTCCAATCCAATTTTCATTGTTCAAACAATGAGATTGAATATCTAGAGAGCTGCAAAAATCCATTCAGAAAATGTGAGTGTAGAGGTTTCTAATGGCGTTGGTATTGAATAATATATAGTATTTGTGACGATGATTGGGGCCGTGTAATCCCAATAGGTTGCGCTCGCTGCAGGTGGTGTATCTCCTCCATAAGTAGTGCGGCGAGGTTAACATGGTGTAACTCGTTACCGAAAAATAACGGATAAATATTGATACGAAGGCAAATTACATTCATTGTGTACTAAGTCTCTTATTGACAATATTTAAAATAAAGTTAAAAGACATTGACTATTAAGGTTATGCTTTTTTACGTTCAGCAAATTAAGCTAGCTACTCTAATGTTTTTATTTTTGTATATTCATTTGTTACAAAATGGGCCTACTTGTCTAATTTTAAAATCAAATACAATCACTTGGAATTTGACATTTGTAAGATATTCAGGAAGTTTCACGCCGCAAATATCTGACGTGTGATGGCAATTGCACACGCGACGTTTTTTTTTTAAGATATAGAATGAACGAAAAAATTTATTAGATGTAAATCGGAATTGTCTAGGCAAAGTGATAGTTATAAATATCTTAGAAAACTATTGGTAAATATGTCAAACGACATAAAAATATTGGGAAATATGTAAAATAAATTGTCTATGACATTTATATCATTCAAATCATAATTCATTCCAAAAAGCGATTGTGATTTTACAAGTTGCACAATTAGGTCTCAAGTCATATAAATTTGAGAATAATTCACTGATTAAAACTAAAATACTCGTAGAATTAATAATATATTTATTAGTAATACTGATATAATTTAGTCTATTATTGCTCATATTTTTTTAAAAAACAAGAAACTGTCACTGTCATTTATTCAATGTCGCTTTTCGCCATGCATGATTAGAGTTGCGAAACGTCTCCATATATCGGGACAACCACCGTTAATAATCGAGATAACCCAACTGCTTCCAAAGATGATGGAGTCAATTCTACAGTATCAA